ACAGACTGGGCCAAGATCCATCTAGTCAGTTCCTTTGGCCTTTGTTCAGAAACTGATTCCCCCATAGTACCCTTTAATTCATTATTATTATTGATTTTCGTTTCCTAGGAAACAAAATATAATTTTAATTAGAAAATGAGGCTACATTCCAAAGCTTCAGATTCCATCCTGTGTCCCTGACTTTTCCTGAACCATTCTGGACTCTCAGTAACTTGATATCTGATATCCCAAACCCTCCTTTTGTCATGACCTCTGCTGGAAGCCAGTGCTGAAGGCTGAGTCTCCTGCTTTTTATCTTCCATCTGCAGGGTGATTATATTGAGGGGAACTGTCAGGGAGAGATGTGGAGACCTGTCCCTCACAGACATCTGTGGGACTCAGATCGGATCTGTGCTCAGGTTTGCCAAAAACAAAAGACAGCGCCTTTGGCTTTGAGATGGAAACCTCTGCCAAATACACACATAGGTGTTCTCCCCCAGCCCACCCTTTTCTCGAACAAAATGCGCTTGTGAACATATTCATGTGCACACACACACTCATGTACACATTTTCAGATGAGAAGGTCTGAAAACTCTCCACATATGGCAAACATATTTAGAAGGGCTATGACTACAGGCCAGTGGGAGAGGAAGAAAAAGAAAATAATGGGGAAAATCTTCAATATGCCTAAACTGTTCCAGTCAGGCTGCTGAGAAAGAATGCAAAGGATTGCAGATGAAAATTATTGTTAAAATCAGCATTATAACATGGCCAAATTCTTTCCCCATTTTAAATGATTACTAGGGCTTTTTCTAATGTACAGCCAGGGCACATGGGAAAACCATAGTTCAATCCAATGGCTATACCTGAGAACACATTATATGGTAGAAAAAATATTCTTACTTAATTCATATTTTCAAAAACTAATTGTGTGGTGGTGTCAGGTATAAATGATCTTAATTGGCTTCAGTTCCCAAATCTTGATGATTATTAGTAAGTTTATGTTCTCTGTTACATATTTACCAACCAAATGCTCACATGCTACAAAACTGCCAAAATAAAGCAACAGTGGGGGTGGGGTGGGGGGGGAACATTAAACAATGTAGATAAATGATCTGTATATTACCTGTGACCTGTCTCCTATATTAGGACTTGATTGAATAAAATTTCTCAAAATTAAATTTTTTTCAATATGTGCTTCTGAAAGTTATCGATGAAAGTCGATAAATAAACTGGTGCTGTTTATATCACCTTGGCAGTGTGGCAGAAAGGCTAGCCTGCTCTCCTTTGGGGCCTCACTGTTAGTCTTAGCTAAACAGGGGTAGCGCTTGACCTCAGGGCAACCAAGAGGCTCTGTTCACATCTCATAGAAAGATGCCTGCAGGTGATGGACTGACACTCTATGAGGTGAGGACCAAAAGCCTAATGTGTTCCCACTGGCCCTCTGCCTGCAGCTTCTAAGGAAAGAGCAGGCAGGAGCAGGGGAAGGTCCTGCCCCATCATTTTATAAACATGATCACACACTCTTCTCAGAGATCTAACAAGATGATTCTTTTCCTGTCCTGACTTAGTTTAGATTTCATAGGTTCACCATCTCATATCTCTTTAACTGCTACTATTAAAAGTCAGAAGCTTACACATGTTGGCAAAATGTGGGAAAAGGGAACATCTACCAGGGAGGGATTGGTGGGTGTGGAGAGTACAGCCATCTTGGAGAAGAGTGTAGAGGTACCTAAAGGAGATCAAATAAAACACCCACATGACCCTACCCTGGGTCCACACCACAAGACTGCAAAACCAGGATGTCAGAGGCACCTGCCCTTCCATGTTTATCACGGTACCTCTCACAAGCTGCAGATCCACAAATCAAGATATGAACAAAATCCACCTGGATGTCTATCAACAGCTACCAAACAGCTGCTATAGAATACGGTTCTGCCTTTAAAAAGAAGGGATCATGTCATCTGCAACAATATAGATAAACTGGATGTGTATATGCTAAGCAAAATAATCCAGGTAAAGAAAGACAAATGCCTGGTGTATCATCTACAGAATGGAAAGAAACTGAACTTATAAGTAGGGAGTAGAATGGTGGTTATCAGGGGACTGTAGAGGGAGAAATGGGAGATGTCAGCCAAAGAGTAGAGGCTGCAAATTATAGTTAGGCATAAAGAACAACTTCAAGAGACCTATTGTAGGGATGGTGAGATGGCTCAGTAAAGGTACTTAGTACACAAGCCTGATAACCCAAGTTCCATTTCCAGAACCCACAATAGCAGGAGAGATTTGCCTTGCAAAGGTGTACATGCATGCACACCAAAACAAACCCAAACCAACGAAACACTCAACGTGTAGACGTACGTAGATCACTCAAAAATAATTTTGGGATTAGATGCTAATATATATTTATCATTAACTTCAATAGGTGTAATGATAACATGATATATATACATTATATTTTCTTAATTTATAGAGAGGCACACTGAAATATTTAAGGAGAGTAATGCTATTGTACATGATATCTACTTTAAGTCATTTCACTAGAACAATGCTGATCAGGCAAATGAAGAACTGTTAATAGTGTGACAATACAGCACACTGCTCTGTTACTGTAAACATCTCAATGTTTTCTTTGTGAATATTAAAAAAAGGAGAAAGAGCCTGTAATATCTAGTCCATCTGCAGAGTTGGGACAATTTGATTCTATAAGTTAAAACAAAGGGAATTATCATGACCAGGTATGTCTTGTGGCTACAAAGACACCCGAGGAAGCCTTTCACACTGGTTTTAAAGTCAAGGATGGCAGCAAAGAAACACGACAGCATTAACAGCGGCAGGCAGACCCCACCTGCATCATTCACCAATCCCTAACCTAGAATACTAGCTACCTGGGAAGCAAGGAGTTCCTGGGCCCATGAATGCTCTTATCCCTCACTTAGGAGACAGTGCACAGTCTCTTACATTGTGGGTTACTCTTTCTTAAGTGTTATACACTAAAGAAATTATCTCAACGACTGCACATTTTATATGCCTGTAGAGGTCACTGTCAAAAAACTGTTACAAAGAAAGAAATATTTATAAATGCTAAATGACAGTGAATATTGTCATATGGAAATTATCCTTGGAGGAATGAGCCAAAAGCACAATTGTTGAATGTGGCTTTAAAAATAGCTATTAATTTCAAGATTACTTCAAAAAGCAACTTGGCAAGCAGTTATTTTGGGGAGAATAGGCACATTCACCCCTAAGAAATATGGAAATAGGAACTTGTGGCTGAGAATGCAGTTTTTAGAAATAAGATCAAATTAGGATCAAAGGAGAGCCTGCATCAAAACCAGCCTTGAGGGAACGAAGCTGATGTGCTCTGAGGTGACTCAAGAGGTGGCTTGAAGATGAGCAGCTCTGCAGTGTCAGAGGCAGAGGCTGGGATAAGCTGGACTTTTAAATGATAAGCATCACAGTTCTTCAGAAAGAAGGTGAAGTGATACCAAGGCAGGATGCCTGACATGGCAGCAAGACTGGGAACCAGCAGCCTGAAGAACATAAGACTGGAGCAGGAGACATGACTCAGAGGCTAAGTGCACTGTTTGCTCTTGCAGAGGACCAAGGTTCAGTTCCCAGCACCTGCATAACTTCTCACAACCATCTGTCACTCCAGAGGGATGCAGCCCTCTCTTCTAGCCTGCATGGCCTCTGCATGCACATAGTGCACACATACATGCAGACAAAGCACCCATGTACACAAAATAGAAGTAAATAAATCTTTTTTAAAAAAGTAAAACTACAAGCTAAAGATGGCATAATAAATGTATGCAAGTATTTGATAAGCAGAAGATACAGCTGATTTACTGATACTTTTCTTAAAAAAAGGAGAAGTTAATGAATTCATGGAAATTATCAAGAAGTACATATTTACCCAATATAGATAAGTATATTTGTCCAACATTAAATTTGGAAATTCATAAGCAAAAGCTTCCTGATCAATTGTAAATGAAAACTAAATCTAGGTAAGTTGTCAACATAATAGGCTTAATGATGACATAATTTCATATATGTATATGAGTAACAAGCTTTGATTGATGACTTTATTTTTTAAAGATATTCTTCATTTAATTGTGTATGTGTTCATGAATGTCTGTGTGTACTTGTGTGTTTTGCTAGCTGGGAATTCAACTCAGGACTTTGAGCATACTAGACAAACATTCTACAATCGAATGATAAGCCCCTACACTATTTGTTTTCTGTTGGTTACTCTGTATGATTCACTGAAGTAAATTCTGGGTTAATTAAAACATACGTTAAAACTTACACTCAGTAGAAGTGTATGATCAAGACAGGGACCCCTTGACTGAGGCTATGTTGCAGGTTAAAGCAGATATGTAGTAAGGGTGTGATCCATTAGGAGTTCTTATATTCTTTGCTAGTGTGTGTCTAAATTGCTCTGTCTCTGGGCAAGATCTCTTCCTGTCTAAAGATAAACTGACTCATCCATAGTGAAGGTATGAGTCAAATATTTTGGCTTTATTGATTTTGGCTTTCTGAAGACTTTCTTGGCTTGTACACAAGACACTGGGACTTTGTCTTCAAATTTCTTGGCTTGTTCCATCAAGTCCTTTCAAAAGCTATTATACAAGGAATGAACAATGACAATTATCCAATAGGCCTTCCAAATTCCATATCCAATAAACCACCATTGGAATTATAAAAAGTCACTGGACACAAAATTCAATCCTAATCCCAGGGAGATTAGTCAACAGTGGGAGGCCATCAGACTAAATGTATCCATCACAGAAAGATCCCTGTGTCCAAAGAATTAATGTGAAATATCTTAGGGGTGGATGAAAGTATGGCAGGAGAAAGTTGAAAGACAGTACTAAAATACAAGGATACTTAATGATATGATGCATGTAAGTATTAAACTGGAAACATCACATTAGATGATGTCATCCTGGAATAATTAAGAAAAAAATTGTGAATAAGAGCTTCAAACAATGAAAAAAGCACTGGTCTGAGAAGCTGACCTGAGACTGCTGGAAAAGGATACTTTTCTCTGGGTTTATGCCACAGGCAAGAAGAACAGCAGTCATGTCCAGTATGCTTTGCTGGAGAATGCTGGGGTCTTGGGGGATGGTGATGGAGTGGAGGTCAACAATGCTGTATAACACCGTGTCATATTCCTCCTGCAACTTCACCCAGCTCTCAATGGCTCCAAGGTAATTTCCCAGGTGGGGGATTCCTGTAGGCTGGATGCCAGAAAACACTCGTTCCACACTGTCCTTCTGCAACAAGGAAAAGAAAAACAAACACAGTTGCTTTGGAGACAGTATTCATAAATTCTGTGTACCTATTACCATATAGTCCTATTTCTATGAACTGCACCCTGATGATCTTTACCATGCATTGCTTTGTGTGTATTCTGTGTAAATCACTATGCTGGGTGCTAATAGAGACAAATGGACATTAAAAATGTTTTTTCTTACTTCCAAACTGTACAAAGATGCCCAGGAAGAAGCCTGCTTGGCCAAAAGATAGTGATAAAGTTGTTGACAGAGGCTGCATTGTTGAGGTGCAAGAGAGCAATACAAGCATGAACAGAATAAATCAGAAATGGAGTAAGTGGACAGCAGCTCCCAAGAGTAAAAGCTTGGCTTTGGCCCAGTGGACACCAAGAATGCCTGAGCAAGTAGACACCATCTCATTAGCGATTAAATGGACCTTAGGATTCTGCGTGCGACTTTACTTTTTGTAGTAAAAAAGATGAAGAAGGCTACAACACCAGGTTAAAACCCACTGTTAGTTATTTTTTATTGTTGATATTATAACTTAATAGGTATGCTCTTAGATTTAGAGTTAGAGAATATGCATTTTACTTTACTATTTTAAAGATAAAGTTACTTTCATGTTTATTTTGATATTATGTAGTATTAATTTATTAGGAGAATTTTTAAATTGTGCATAATTTTCTAAATTATACAAATATTTTTGGCTTAGTCATGCCTTCCCTTTGAGTTATATTTTCTAGTGTTGTTACAAAAAATGAGAAGGAAAAATTGAACAAGAGTAAAATGATTTTTCCTGAGTGGTTTATTATCATATACTGACAACTCGACAGTTTTGAGTATTTATTAGTAAATATAATGACCAAAGGTGCTAAAGATCAAACTTAGTGTTGTTGCTTTAGTCAGCATTGCAGAAAAATCTTAACAGCACCCATAATTTACTGGACAGCTGTTTCTAACATTTATTCTCAGTTCTTTATGCATAGGAACCCGTTTAATTGAGTACCCAACAGAGTATGGGTGTTACTCCTTCCAGTATGCAGATGAGAAACCAAAGCTCACAGATTATATCAACAGCCTGTCCATGATTAGGCAACAGGGAAATGGCAGATGTGGGATTTCAAAGCCAGCATGCGGTCACTCTATTCTTGTGGTAGTTTGAATGAAAAAGTCCCACATATGCTAGGGTAGTGTTCGAACACTTGCTTCCCAGTTGGAGGCACTGTTTGCGGGAGGTTTCTGAGGTGCAGCCATATTGGAGGAAGTATGTCACTAGTGGTGGGCTTTGAGATCACATAGCCTTGTCCACTTATAGTTTGTTCTGCTTTGTGCTTGTGCTTGAGATGTGATCTCTCTGCTTCCTGTTCTGCTGCTTGCTGCTATGCCCTCCCACCATGATGGACTCTTAACCCTCTGAAACAGTAAACAAATACACCCTCTTCTTTAAGTTGTCTTGGTCATGCAGTTTTATCAAAGCAACGGAAAAGTAAGTACAACAACATTACTCAGCTCAACACCATTGATTAGGAACTTACTACTTTTGGTAAAATAATTTTGTCATTTTTCTATAGGTCAAAAAATTTGCAAGATAGTAACAGAGGAATAAAGACCTTCATCATACCTATATGTTTGTGTGCCACTTGACATGTTTTTCTATATGTGGGATGGAATTGCAAAATCATAAGGTATATACATGCATCTTCACCACACTACAGCCTGGTTAACTACTCTAAATAAATAACAATATGCACTCTCTACCACCAGTTCCTGTGGCACCAGATTCCCATCAGTACTTAATACTGACTGGCCTATCTTTTTAGATATTTGAACAGACACCAGGTAGACTCTCATGATAGTGTAACTTCATCTCCTTGATTAGTAAAGAAGTTGAAAATCTTTTATAATTAGTTTTACTTCATTGCTACTATCCTGTTCAAGCTATTCTGTGCTTTATTTAGAATTTAAGAATTCTATGTTCAAAAGCATTTTTATTATTTAAGAATTTGTATATGTTCTAGATACTGCAGTTAATTGCAGGTAGAGGAAATACATTCTCAGACTGTGTGCTTACTTCTTCCCATTATCTTTTAATGAAGGGAACTTCTTTACTAGTTCAATAAATAAAATGCACTTGACTAGACTTCTGTGTCATAGAAGAAATCTTTTAGTACTATAAGGTTCTGAAGACATATGCATGTACACACATATATGCATATTCATATAAATTGAATGTGTGTACTTTAAATGCTTTATCTTTCACACTTAGGTCTGCATCCATTTGGAATGTTTTCATTTGTTTGTTTTGTAAAAGGTGTGAAATAGGCATTTGATTTTCCTTTTTATGAATAGCTGATTATTCCAGAACTATGTGTGGCAGAGAAACTATGTGTTTCTTCTCCTTGCTCTGGAGTGCAATTTCTTTCACACAAGGGTGTGAAGAATCTGGTTAGAACCTGAACTGAGACTGGTAGAGGCAGAATGGCCATCTCTATGACACTACACTGTCCACACATCATACTACAGCTGTATCTTTTTACATAACAATACCTCCTGAGAGCTAATCTATTTTAAATAAGTGAGTGTCAATGCTACTTAAGTTTTTCTTTTCCCCTTTTCCAAGAACTCCAAATTTTACAAATATAATCTGTGTTTTTTTTTTCTTTTTCAGCTAATAAGATGACAGTGCCAAAGTAGAATGTTATGTCATATCTCTATGGTCCAGCATTGAATCTGGTCCAAGCAGTTAGAAGGGGAGCCAAAAGATTTGTAGCTCTGAGGATATAAAAAGTGCCATTCAAGGAACAATGAACAAGTATAACCAAACCACTCACAATCTCATCCCCCCCTTCCCACACATGTACCCCCTCCAGAGAAATTTTCATATCATAATTTATAAACGGTACAAAAAAACATTTCCAGTTGAGAACTGAGGGAAGTAAAGAGGGAAAAGGGAGAGAGTGAAGGGGAAAGAGGGAAGGGAAGATGGGGTCAGAGAGACATAGAGGGGAGAGAAAGGGAAGAAGGGAAGGATGGAGGGAGAGAGGGAGGGAGGTAAAAAGGGGGGGGGGAGAGGAAAGGGACACATATAGAGAGGTTTCCTCCAGTACCCAGTAGCTCTGATATGGGAATGAGCAAAGGGTTTTCAGTTCACTGAAAAATGATTAATGGGCATCAGGGCTGATTGATGAAGAGGGAAAGTAAAGCAGAAAAACAAACTCTGAACTTAGTAAACGGAAGCCAAAATACCATCCTGGAATACTTGACCAGGAAGAAGAGTGGCTGTTTATGGTAATAGAAAGGGTTATGGAGACCAGGAATATTAACCTGAGAAAAAGAGAATATGAATAATTCCATATGAATTCCTCTATGGTCAAACTAAGAAACTGTGCCCCAGGAGAACTGGAGAAAATAAATTCTTGAGAAGACTACAAGAGTAAAGCACAAGAGGATCGACTGTGGGAAAAAGGCATCGTGAGCAGTGAGAACGGATTACCCATGAGCTAAGGCATCTTTTCCATTCTCTGGTTTCCGGGACTCTGTACATCAGTGCACAGGGAATGATGTTACCAAGAAGTAAGCACAACAAGAAATGTTTTGTTCAGTTTTCAAGGAACTATTAAACAAATATAGCCTCTAAATGGGATCTGGAGCCCTGGTCTTAAAAATATACAGAGAGTGTCCTGCTCTTCTGAGCTGAGTTTATGTTGTAGTCTGTTCCTCAGCAAGAGCCAGCAGGCGGTCTGACGGCATGGCAGGGGAGATACGCCTGGTACCATGAGATCACGGAGTTGGAATGTGAAGTTTGGGTGGTGGGAGGATGGGGGGTTCTGTGTTCAAAAGCACTATAGTCAGAGAAGAATGAGAAGGAAAGGAGCAAGGGCTTCCCAGTGGACAGCAGGCAAGCCACAAAAAAAAAAAAAAAAAAAAAAAAAAATCTCAGACCTAGCCCACAGGCATGCACTCACTAGAAGAGTGAAATCCACTGTGGTGGACAGAGTAAAGGGACTGTTTCATGACACCTCCGTGCTTTTTATTTCATTCATATATCCTTAACAGAAGCCACCTCCAGTAATGGACGATGATGGAGTCTAGATAAGAGGGTGGAGGGTCCAACCAAAGGAGGCATGGGTTCACAAATGTCACAGAGCTGAAACTCTTCTTGCATACAGTCCTGGGCATATCCCAAGCCTATCATTTTATTAGTGGTAACAACTCCACGCAGAAGCAATTGAGAAATCCCAAACTGTTCTGCTCTCCCTTTCATCCCCCAAGTCCCTCATTCCCCTTGTGCTCTTCTACCCTTCCAACAGACTCCTTTCCATTTTCATGTCACAGGGGCCCCATTGCCCTCCCCACATCCTTCCTTAACTCTATCTTCTCTTGTATTTCCTTTTTTGTTTCACACACACACACACACACACACACACACACACAAAATATAGTAGGAGCCACATATGAGAAAGCATGTGTAAGTTCTGTCTGAGTCTGGGTTACCTTGCTTAACCTAGTATTTTTCATCTCTTTCCATTTTCTTGCAAATTCTTTTAAGTATTTTATCATGCTTTCTCACCAAAGGGATGCACATGGGAATTTCCAGGAAGAAGCAGAGCCTCTTAATGTAGCTTCCTCAAATGGAACAGCATATGATGTGAACATCTGAAATTTGACTGTGGGTACTTGTATACTTTGGATTTCCCAGAGATGGATAATCAGTCAGTCCTGGAAATCCCAATGAGTGAGCCTGATCCAGCAGTTATGGACCAGATAAACATGAAAGATGATGTTATGGCAAAGGGTGCCATTATGAGAGTGGAATTTGAGACCAGAAGCCAGGTTCCATCATTGATGTTATACTGTTATATCCTTGTGGATATTCCGCTGATGGAAAAAGTCATAAAAACTTATTGGACTATTCACATCACTCTAGAACAAGAATTTATGTTAGCTTTGAAGCAAACTCAAGAACTTCTATGATAACCTCATCAGGAAAGCTGGGAAAG